GCAATAAATACACATTCAATAATAAACAGAAAACAAAATTCATTCAGATAGTGATGATTTCCACTAATGCAACAAAATAGGTTGCTCTTATAGAGAAGGACTGAAAGATTTATTTAAATAGGAAGCCTCTCTGAGAAGCAACATTTGAGGGTAAAAAAAATGCAAAGAAAGAAGCCGTGACAAGGGCAGAGCTTTCTTGGCAGAGACAATACCAAGTGCAAAGGCAATGGTGCAGGAACTAGCTTAGTCTGTTCTGGGAACAAAAATCAAACTGGGACAGCAAGAAAGAGTCAGTACTAAGAGAGCAGAGAATTATAAATTCAAAGACATAGAGAAGAGCAAGGTCATGTGGACCTTGGAGGTCATAGGAAGAAGCTCAGATCTAGATTTTATTCCAGATTTAGGGGACGACCAGCAGGAAAGTTTTCAGCAAAGGAGATGAGAGGCAGGACTGTTTTTTGTTTTGTCTTTTGTTTCTAGGAGATTACACTGGCTATAGGTGGAGAATGGACTACTGTGGAACAAGAGTGGAGGCAGCTCTCTGCCTCACTTAGGAGATCATGTGTAGTATCTGAGCAAGAATCTAATCTGCTGCCTAATCTAAGGGGTAGGGGAGATGCAGAGACTAAGATATAACTTCAGGACTTGCTGGGAGGGGAAGGACGGAAAGAAAAGACTCGAGGGACTATAAACATTTGGCCTAAAGAAATAGACTGATGGATACACAGAAGAAACTAGTGGTTACTGGTGGGTAGAGGACAAGATGTAGGTGAGGGATTAAGAGGCACAAACTACTACCTATAAAATAAATAAGCTACAGGATGTATTATACAGCACAGGGAATATAGCCAATATTTTGTAATAACTTTAGATAGAGTATAATCTATAAAATTTAGATAGAGTATAATCTATAAAAATTTTAATCACTATGTCATATACCTGAAATTAATATAATATTGTAAATTGACCCAATTAAATATATCAATAAGTAAATAAGTGAATAAATAAACAAAACTTTGACCTGAGTAACCACAAAACTGCTAGTTACTATGCTAGGATTCAGGGATAAAATAGACCATAAGACATAGCTCTTCCCCTTTTGAAGTTTACAATCTATAACTATTTACTAAATGCTACTTGGTTAATAGCTAATAGTTTAAAAAATGAATTTAGATTTAAATATCACAATTGTTAACATCATAAAATCCAGATGGGTTGAAATGTTAAATTTAATAAACAATATCTAAATAAACTAGAAGAAAAAATATATATATACATACTTTAAGGATGGGAAAGCTTCTAAACACGGTGTGTGTACTCAGACGATTAGTCATGTTCGATTGCGGCCCAATGGACTGTAACCTGCCAGGATCCTCTGTCCATGGAATTTTCCAGGCAAGAATACTGGAGTGTGTTGCCATTTCCTACTCATCTTCCCAACCCAGGGATGCAACCTCCATCTCTTGCATCTCCTGCATTGGTAGGAGGATTCTTTACCACTGGACCACCTGGGAAGCCCCTTTTAACACTGAAGTGTAAGCAATAAAGGAAAATATTAATAGATTGACTGTTTAAAATTTTAAACTATTGTAAGTTAAAAATCTACCATAAAATTAAAATGCAAACAGTACTGGGAAATATAGCCATAGTATATTCGATAACATGTTGATGTGATCAGTATAGAAAGAGATCTTAGAAATCAATACAGAAAAAAATGACCAAAGAGAATAATAAACAAAAAGCAAAAGTACAGGGTCAGTCTAAAAATGGGTTCAATCTTACAGGTTATCAATAACATGCACAGCTAAAATAGGATGTGAATTTTTTAAACCTTTCACTTTTATGTACTGTGTGTTAACTTGCTTTAGTTATGTCTGACTCTTTGCAACCCTATGGACTGTAGCCTTCCAGGCTCCTCTGTCCATGCAATTCTCCAGGTAAGAATACTGGAGTGGGTTCCCATGCCCTTCTCCAGGGGAATCTTTCCAATCCAAGGATTGAACCTGCGTCTCTTAAGTCTCCTGTGTTGGCAGGTGGGTTCTTTACCACTAACACCAACTGTGAAGTTCAAATTGGTAAATGTTTAAAAAATTTAAAAAATCCAAAAGTTAGTTTGGGAGTATAAAATTGACACTTGAGAGAAATTCTTCAAAAATGTACATTACCTTTCATTTGGCAACTTCATTTTTTGAAATGTCTAAAAGGTATAATCATGGTTGTGTGTAACTACATACAAACATTTTCTACAGCATTATTTATACTACATAAATTTTTCACAATAGAGATCTGATTAAATAAATAATGGTATATCCGTATGGTATAATATAGGGCAGCTAGTTAAAAATCACATTGCAGAAAAAAAAAACCTGACGTGGTAAATTGTTTATAATATGTTCAATGTAATAAAAGCAGACTATAAAACAATAAGTCAAGTGTAATAGCATTTTGGCAAATATCTATGGAGAAAGTATATCAATAGTGACATTTACTAAATTGTTCTTGGTAACTATATTTCAGAGATGGAATTGTAAGTGATTTTTTTTCTTCTACATGTCTGTGCTCTTCAAATTTTTCACATTGCATAAGTGAAATTATGGATTTTTATATTATAAAATAAAAATTTTATATTTATAAAAGGTTAAGTACTCCAAAACAAAAAGAATCACTGAAACTAGCAAAAGGAAACCAGTTGAAACCAGTCATTGGAGCAAAGTTTTCAAGGATGGTTGCAGATAAAAAAGACAAAACAAGGTTTCTCTGATACTGATAATAAACCAATGTAGACAATAGGAGTGCAGCATGGATTTGGACAAAGATGTTCTGGAGCCTAGGATCTGTGGACACTGCAGTTCCTGTTAGTTGTCACTCAAAGGTCAGCCCATACCAGCAGTCAATCACACAAGAGGATTTGTAGAGCCAACATGGCCATCAAACCGAGATCCACAGGTAAGACCAGGTCACACTGTCCTCATATATGAAGTTGTAGAAGCTTTCATTGTGATCCAATAAGCCCACATGCCTGATTCTGTGCAGCTTATTAAACTAGTCAAACAATGGCCAGTCTGATCATCCCTGGTCTCCACACATCAAAAGTTAACCAGATAAACTGTCTGATCTTTTGAACATAGAGAATCCTTGAAGTATTGATATTATATCAAACTTGTAACCTGCAAATCAGAGTAATGCTCAGTTAAATTGACATTTGCATATATAGGAAACCAGAAATCAACTCTGCCTTTGAACTCATTGTAGGAATTATATTCAATTCCTTTTGAGGTCTCTGAGGTTTATACTTGTAAAATAACCTTTTTTTCCCCTCATCATCAGAGTGCTTTACATGGGAAACAAAGTATCAATGATACCAAAAAGTACATTTGTGGATGTGTAAATGAAAGCATTATTTCCAGAGCATTTACTATGAGTGTCTCTAAGTCTTTGGTACCTTTTGGTGGGGGGGGGGGGGGGGGGGAGTCTGATTTTATTAATTTAAATAAATATAAAAAGTTTTGGTATTTGGCAGTTTTCAAAGAGGGAACTCTTTTTTTAAAATAATTTTATTTATTTATTTAAAATTTTATAATTTTGGCTGTGCTGGGTCTTCATTACTTCCCTGGTGGCTCAGATGGTAAGAAGTCTGCCTGCAATGTGGGAGACCCGGGTTCGATCCCTGGGTTGGTAAGATCCCCTGGAGAAGGAAATGGCAACCCAGTTCAGTATTTGTGCCAGGAAAATCCTATGGCCAGAGGAACTGGGCGGGCTGCAGTCCATGGGGTCTTCCTTGATGCGAGGGCTTTCTCTAATTGCAGGGGATGGAGGCGACTCTCTAGTTGCACTGCGCCGGCTTTTTATTGTGATGGCTTCTCTCATTGTGGAACACGGACCCTAGGGCTCCTGGGCTTCAGGACTTTGTGACAAAGGGGCTCAGTAGCTGCGGCTCCCAGGCACTTGAGCACAGGCCCAGTAGTTGTGGCGCAGAGGCTTAGTCATTCCCCAGCATGTTGGGTCTTCTGGAATCAAGAGATCAAACTCCCTTCTGCATTGACAGGGGAATCCTTTATCACTGAGCCACTCCCCTTTTTAACTGTCAGGTCCTTTATCCATTCCTTTCTTTTTGAGATATAACTGACATTTTATTACAAAAGTGTATAAAATAATGATTCAGTATTTGCATATATTGTGAAATCATCACCATAATAAGTCTAGTTAGACTTGTGTCCTTTTTAAAATCAGAGGTATTGAGGGAAAGCAGCTTAAAAACAGATTTTCTCTAGTTAGCGACCAAATTACTACTCATTTCCTCCTGTATGCTTTTACTACAATAGTTTTCAAATTCAGATGTTCTTCTGTGAAGCTGATTTTAAAAATACCTGCAACCTGCCCCAAACCTACCAGATCAAAGTCTTATAGATGCTGAGACCCGAGGAGTCTAGCAAGATACAGAAGCATCTCTGGTTCCCTAGGAAGTGTGAGAACCACTGCTCCGTGTGATTAGGTGCCTGTTCCGAAAGAAAGTGGCAATAAAAACAAGGGGTTATATTTCAGACATTTCTAATTAAAAGACAGATTTTTTTAAAAAAGACATGAATGATGACATTCCGTCCTCATCGGTGTCATCTCTTAAAGACGGTTTCTCTGCAGACCAGAGAGGAGAGTAACCAGAACGCGTCCAACTCAGAGGGTAAAGAAAGCCTCAACCAGTTCACTTGTCAATTCACCTGTCCTCAAGGTGTGTGGCAGGACACAAAGGCGTGTCCCGTCAGCTGCTGGGGAGAAAGTCAACACTCCCAACATGCACTGAGGCGCAGGGAGGGGCTCGGCCTCCTAACCCTTCCCGGCGGCGGCGACCGGGAGCCGTCAGCCACACCTTCGGCAGCGCCCTGCCAGGCGCAGAGGGGCCCTGCCGCCCTGCTCCCGCACCTGGCTCCGACCTCGCCTCCACCTCCGGGACCGTGAGCGAGCGCTGCCTCTCCGGCGATGATCAGAGTTTGTGGCTGAGCGCGGGAACAAGCTCTCCGGGGCAGGTTCGGCTCCACCACGAACAAACTCTCCGGGGCAGGTTCGGCTCCACCAGGAAGGGGAAAAGTCTCCTCCTATGCACACTGTAGCAGGTGAAAAATGGGAGTAGGGGGTGAAAAAAGCGCTCTAATCCACTCCCTGAGGTCAAGTTAAGGGCAAGTTGTTAGAAAGCAAAATCTATAGGCAGCCAGGTTTGAACGTGTGCGTGTATCAGAGCCGTCTGAAACCCGGACATACTTTTCCTTTTGATATTTACAGAACACCCCTTCCTGATCAAGGTAAGCATTGGAGGGAGACGGGGCGGGGGACAGGGAAGTGCTCGAAGCTAAGTCTGGCCGCCAATCTCCCCTCCCTCACTTTTTAATAGGGAGTGAGCTCATGGTCTTTACCTGAAATTGTGATTTTTGCCAGGAAAAGATATTAGACTCTTGCAGGACTTAATGCTTCCTCTGAGTATCCTTAGGTTTGCAATGTTGCATTCAACCAGAGGACTCAGAAGGTCTTTTTAATTGAGGGTTCAGCTAAAGTTTTATTATTTTCCACAAATCAAAAGAGACTTCTCTCCTACCAAAAAAAAAAGTTAAAAAGAATTTCTGATACAATTTAGGACTGCACCAAACTTTGAAAGAATAATCTTAATTAAATAGGAGTTCATGAGTTAAGGATCCAATTCTGAAGCAGGAGAGCTTTAGGTTCAAATCTTGCCTTTGTCACTTACTGGCTTGTCCCTTACTTAGCAAATGACTTAACTTAGTCAAGCCTCAATTCATCATCTATAAAATAGGCATCATAAGAGGATGTTCCAATAGGGCTTTGGTGGGAATTAAACACTGGGCAAGCCTTCAAAAATAGCTATAAATAATTAGCATTAAGAAATTAACAGCTCTGCCAAAATGTCCATTCAAGCAGTGTGAGCTGAGCTGGTGAGACCAGACAGTATAAAAGGGTACTGGAGTTGCTTTCCAGTGAGTGAGTCCAGGATATGTGAGCAGATGGCAAGTAGGCAAAGAATTACCTCTGAGAAACAATGAAGTTATCTGGCTTCCTGCCACTTTTCAAATTGAGGTTGTGGTGGCCAATTCAAACTTTTTGCTATGCTCAGTCATTTTTATTTTGAAGAAGTCATACTTCTGTTAATCTGTTATTTCTGACTGGAGAAGGGAATGGCCACCGCGCCAGTATTCTTGCCTGGAGAATTCCATGGACAGAGGAACCTAGTGGGCTATACAGTTCACGGGGTTGCAAAAAGTCAGACGTGACTGAGTGACTAACGATATTAGAAACTATAATTTTTAATAAGAGAGAAACACTCAATCCTATGTTGTGGAACCCATCAATTTCGAGGTTTATTTATAAAAGAGACTGCCCCTGAATAACGTTGATAAAATTAGACCATATACTCCATGTTCTTATATTGTAGCACATATTGTATTGTTCACAGTAAAGTGACAAAGACTTTTATTTCTGTATAGACAGGAAGCATGAAACATAAAAAATTGATGCCTATGTTTTGTTGGTCTTTACCACCTAAACTTAAATTACAAGGAAGTGAACTTTATGAATTTTTCTTTAAAGGGTTTTTTTGTTATTAATAATATTGCTGATAGGCTTGTTAATGTGGATAACTTTGAGGTAGGAATAAACTTAGTAGGCATGACTAACAAAGTAATTCTATTGGTAACATTTTAGCTTTACTTTATTAATATAAAATATTTAAATATTTTGCAATTGATCTTAGGTTAGTATTATCATTGTTTTAATGAATTCTGCCCTCAAATTGCAGAGTTGAAAATCTTCACTGTATTTTTTTTTTTCTTGAGAGAGGAAAGTAACTTTTTTATCCAGTTTTATTGAGATATAATTGACATTTAGCACTGTATGAGTTTAAGTTGTACAACACAGTAATTTAACTTATATATTCATGAGATGCTCCATCATCTCGCATAGATATGAAATTAAAGAAATAGAAGGAAACTTTTTACTTGTGATGAGAACTCTTAAGATTTACTCTTTTAACAACTTTCGTATAGCTCAGTTGGTAAAGAATGCCTACAATGCAGGAGACCTCAGTTCGACTTCTGGGTAGGGAAGATCCCTTGAAGAAGGGAAATGCTACCCACTCCAGTATTTTGGCCTAGAGAATTCCACGGTCTCTATAGTTCACACAGAGTCGGACACGACTGAGTGACTTTCACTGTCGTATACAACATGCTTATTTACTTTATTTGTGGCCCTGATGGGTCTTTATTGCTATGTGGGCTTTTCTCTAGTAGCGGCAAGCAGAGCCTACTCTCTGGTTGTGTGCACAAGCTTCTCATTGTGGTAGCTTGTCTGGTTGCAACCCCGAGCTCTAGAGCACAGGCTCAATAGTTGTGGGCTTATTTCCTCAGAGGAATGTGGGATCTTCCTGGATCAGGGATCAAACCCATAACTCCTGAGTTGGCAGGTGGATTCTTTACCACTAAGCCACCAGGGAAGCCCTGTCAGCATTGATTAAATCTATCATATTGCATATTACATCCCTAGTACTAAATTTATCTTATAATTGCAAGTTTTACCTTTTGATACTTTTATATGATTCCCTTCCGCCCCCTCCCCTTTATAATTGGATATTGACTGGACAATTGGAAATAGAATTCTAAATCTAACTAAACTGAACTGTACCACATTACTGTCATCTGAGGTGTGATTGCATTTAGTGTAGTTTAACTAAAAACTTGCAAAATAATGCAATCTATTTAGAAAAAATTATAGTATCAGTGTTCACTAAACATTTTTCAAAACAGAAATATGCCTTTATGCTAAATAAACATTTTTAGAATTTAAATAAGTCATTTGACTTTTAATTTCATAATAGGCATATATCTAAATAACAAACAGTAGCCCCAACTAAAGCAAATCTATTAACCATATTTTAGATTAATTTATTTAGCCACATAAACAGGTATAAATCTTCCTAAAGTTTATTTTAGTATATAAATGTATTTCTACTATTTCTAATGTCTATAAAATTTTGTGATAAACTATAAAATGTTTTGGTCAATCAGAAGAGAGAAATAACCAGCAGTGATTAAAACAAATTAACTTTTCTGATTACATTTAAAATAATATAACATGTGTGTAATATATATGTAGCATGTAATTTAAGGTTTCATATTTGATACTTGTTTTAAATAAGAGGTATCCTATATTCATTGAAATAGAAATCTAATGCTGTCAATTTACTTATGCAGATTCTTTGATCACAAGGCAGACAGGGAATTTAAGATTGTTAGAGATCCATAGGCTTTATATAAAAGTTTAGATTTTTAAAAACAAGTCAAGTAAAGGTCAGTTGAAAGTACAACGACTGCAAAAGAACTTCTTTTGAATGCTCTCCTTCTCACTAAAGTCTGGACTTAGAGAAGATTGGGATCTGTTGCAAAACTTAGTCTTTTAAAGACTATCAGGTATAGCGATTTCATCATTTCACAACATCATCTCAAGTACCAAATGAACCAGTACTACTGCCTTCAGTAGCTGAGCATGAAGGGGTCTCTTTCTTAAGGGATGAGGGTGTTATCTTAGGAGCGGGTGGTTGAAGGACATCTCCATCATCCTCCCAGAGTCTTGTAAACGGAGCTCAAGAGGAAAAAGGGATCATTCTTTTGCAGCCAAATAATGAGCAGGGAAAATGAGCCATGGCCCCTGTAAAGTCGATCTTAGAATTTCCTCTTGGAAACCTAGATGAAGCAGAGAATCTGGAGCTGGGTCATGGCAGTGATTCCAGAAGGTGTTGTGGGCAGACTGAGTAGCTCCCTCCCAGACTAAGCAGTGGCAAGGTACTTTAAATCCTGAAGTGGCTTCAAACTAGTTCACCTTTCCTTCTGCTGCTGCTTTGCTCACCTCCCCGAGGGCACTCTGGGGAGAGTGGAGCAGCCAGGGTTAGCGCCGTGTAAACGTGCAGTCGCATACTAATGGCTTGGCACTTCAAATTAGATTCCACTGGGACTGATGGTGATGGGATAGTCACATAAAAATCTGGTTGCTTGATCCACATTCTGTTTAGTCCTGTCTTAAAGACTATAACACATTTTTACTTGTATCTCAAAACAAACATTCCCTAACTGCAATCAATATCACCTGATAAAGTGATAATATTTATAGTCTAATACTGAACTTTTACCATCACTGCAAATGAAGCACATTCCTTAGAAAACTTATGGTGCCAAGTATTTCCCAGAACCCATATTTTTCTTGACTTTTTTCTGTTTTCTAAGAATTGGATAACAGAATTACAGATGTTTTGTTTCCTTGAAGTGATTCAATTGTATATGGCTCTGCTCTTCTGTACTATAAGGTTCCAGATCAGAGCTTAGAGAAAACAGCTTTCTTTTAGAGCTAAATACGTATTTGTAACTTTCCATTGTTTCTTCAGGCCAAAATAATGTTTAAAACAAAATCCTCCATGCGTACAGCCTTTAATATAATTTTACTTCGTAACTGAAATACACACTTCCTCTTCTAATGTGAAACTCTCTAGTCTTTTTTTTTTTTTTTTTAGCAATTTTTATAATGTGTGTTCTGGAGTAAAAAATGGCAACCAGCTCCAGTATTCTTGCCTGGAAAATTCCATGAACAGAGTAGCCGGGGAGGCTATAGTCCATGGGGTCACAAAGAGCTGGACACTACTAAGCATGCAGGCATGAATATGGTGTGTGTTATGTAAGATATGCTTCTCATATATGATTTAGAAAATATATATGAAATCAAAAAGGAAATAATTATCATTCATAATTTCACAGCTTTCAGTTTTACTGTTAATATTTTTGTACATCTCTCCATATACTGAATGACTTCTCAGGTGGCTCAGTGGTAAAGAATCCACCTGCAATGCCAGAGACGCAAGTTCGGTCCCTGGGTCAGGAAGATCCCCTGGAGAAGGGAATGGCAACACATTCCAGTATTCTTGCCTGGGAAGTCCCATGGACAGAGGAACCTGGCAGGCTACAGTCCATGGGGTTGCAAAGAGTCTGACACAACTTAGCGACTGAGCACACACATCACATATTGAACATAGAGATCTTCATTTCTTTATATTAATGTATGTTTTCTCTACATACTTGCATATATACATTCACTCTAGGAGTCAAAAAATAAGCCATCGTCCTGTTCTAAAGGAAATTAAGTAAAATAAAATATGATTAGGGAGAGAAAGTGAAAGCAATTAGAAAGCCTCAGATGTTTTGCTGTGAAAGTTCAAAGGAGAAATTCTCTTTGGCTGGAGGACCCGGGGAGTTAACACATGTATTTTTCTAGCTCATTGTAAAATTATGACTGCTCTGACATTTCCTGCACCCAGTGGCCTCAGGAATCAAGGGCTGCAGATATAGATACAAATATAGGCCATGCTTCCTGGCTTAGCACGATAGCAGGCACAGAGAAGGAACTCATGAAATATTTGCTGATATACAGAGGAGCGAACCAAGTTTTCCACTTTTAAACAAGTAACCATTTAATTAATCCATGCTTGAACCTGGGAAGGTACTTTAAATGACTGGTCCTTTTGAGTTTTATTTGGGCTTCACCTCACATCCTTTGGCCTCATTCTGGTAACTGACCAGTCCAGGCAAGTCCACATCTATGCAAGATGCAGAGCGGGAAGAGGTAAACTACTTCAGATGCTCCCATCCTCAGCATTGCCCATATGCGGGTGCTGACTTATCCTGCTTTCTCAGGGTCCTCATCCCTACGGCCTGCTCAGACTGATTCTGTCTTGCTGATCTTCTCTCTTCCCTGGTGTGCCTCCAAGGTCTATTTTAGCCTTGACTGACCTAGTACTTCCAGGACTGTTTATTTCTCCAAGATTTAATTACTTGCCTATTTAATTCTATATTGAGCTGTACTTTATGTGGACAAAATTTTAAAATAGATAGCCAAACATTGAATAAGTGATCTTATTTCCTACACAGTCAAAGTCAATAAGCTCTGGCCCCAGGATGGGAGAGCCTGTAAGATTATCTCTCCCAGTAAAACACTTAGATTTTTAACAACTACCTTCCTCCTCAAGTCATAGTTTGTGCTTAGTTGCGCAGTTGTATCCAGCTCTTTCCGACCCCATGGACTGCAGCACACCAGACTACTCTGCCCATGGGGATTCTCCAGGCAAGAACACTAGAGTGAGCTGTCGTGCCCTCCTCGAGGGGATATTCCCAATCCAGTGTTTGAACCCAGGTCTCCCTCATTGCAGGCAGATCCTTTACTGTCTGGGCCACCAGGAAAGTGCAAAGTCATAGTTTATGTTCTACCAAAATAATTGTGAGCATTCAAAGTAAGACCCTTAGGCTTCTAGACCTGTAATTTTTCTTTTTTTTTTTTCGTAAATCTTTCTGCTGATTTAATCATAATCTCTGGTTATCCTCCTCTTAAGCCTTTTGAGGAAACTAGCTCAGACCCTTAAAACCACCAAGTCTTTGTAATTTAGAGGATATTCACAAGGGCACTACCAGATTTTAATTTATGGTACATCATGGCTAATGGGAATAGAAAGGGGAAACTGTTTGAATTCACAAATCTATTTCTCACTTTAGCAATTAATAATAAGCTGGGACTTTTACCAAATCACCTTTTTACCTTTCAAGTATTTCAATTGTTTGAGTATTTTGCTTAGCCCACTTTTGGATTCAGTCAATATTATTTCCTATTCAGTTAGCTTATAATGCTTATCAAGAAAAATGCTACCCCGTTTTCATCTTCTTTCACAAATTTCATTCAACTGTCCTTCTTTCTAAGGTCAGGATAATGAAAGGACCTTTGAATTCCTTTTTGTTTGTTTTGAAATTTAATTACATCTTCTGAAGCTAGCTACAATTTGCTTCAGCATAGGTCATGAGTGACAATATAATTACATCGCAATTGTTTGCTATCTTTAATGATACTTTACCTAATGTTTTTATGAATACAAAGAGTGGGGACCAATCAGGAAGCCACTGCAATGATTCTTCAGCCCATCATTGTCAATTTGCCTTTGTACTTCAGTTCAGAATATTGCCCACTTCCAGTCCTACCTAAAAGAAAAGAAAAGTTTTATTAGTAGTGGTCAATCCTTTGGATCACAGGTACAGCTTGACATTTAGTCAGTCACTCAATAAATATTATCTAAATTCTTTTTACGTTCTAGGCAAAATTCTGAGACGTGGATGTGCATGAGTAAGCAAACAAATAAACAAAACCCATATCCTAAAAATTTCATGTTGTAGTTGGGAAGACAGTCAATGTAACTAAATAAAATCCTTTCAGATACTGACGCATTACCTAGATGAAAATATGATAATTGGATTACCTGGAAGAAGGTATCAATAGAAAAGAGAGGATGGCTGAGGACAGACTATAGAACAATGATCTGAATAATATGATAATGACTGAGAGTTGCTTAGAGAGTCTCTGACAGAGACCAGCATGATGGGAGAGTCTGAGGTAAAGAACTCCAGGGAAGAAGAGCAGCAAGTTCAAATCCCTGAGGCAGGAATGAGCTAAGGGAGTGATTAAAAACCAGAAAGAAGGCCAGTGTAGATGAAATGTAATCAACGAGAGAAGTAATAAACAGAATGAATACTGAATTGATTGGCAGGACCTTGGGCGTCATCATAAGGAGTTTCTATTTTACTCTAGCTCATTCTTGGAAGTCTTTATAAGGTTTTAATCATGAAATGACAAGATCTGATTTGCTCTTGAAAATTATCATCTTGGATGCCATGTGGAGAATGGAATATGGGTCATGATGTGGGTTCAGGGAAACCAGTGTGAAGGCTGATGCAATAATCCAGGAAGAAGATGGTGGTGGGTTGGCTCAGAGTGGAAGCTGCTGAGTTACCAGTTGGAGGTACCGATAGGACTTACTTTTGGATTGGAATCTGGTTATGAAGAGGAAAAAGTAAAACTTGTAGTTTTGGTGCTCTTAGGGTGGGTGGGAAAGGATTGTGGAGGAGGGAATTCTGGAGTATGGGAGAAAGTCAGTGGTTCTGGCTTGGCCATGTTGGCCTTGAGAGGCCTTGGAGGGACATCCAACTAGAGATTAATTTAGGTAGTAACATAAGTCTGGAGTCGGCAGAGAGGCTGGGCCAGAGCTGGATTAGGTTACCTGGAAGAAAGTGTAGATAAGAGAGGAGAGGGTGGTCAAGGCCAGGCTATTAGAACAAGCCAGGGTTTTGTGATCATATAAAGGAGGACCCAGCAGAGGAGACTAAATAACTGAGACATGTGGGAGAGCCAGGAACTAAAGTAAGCTTGTGGTAGGTGCTTTGTCTCAGAGTCTCCAAAAACAGTGTTTCAAAAGGAGGGAACGACCAACATTGTCAATTGCTACCGAAAGGCAGAGAAAATGAACCTCTTGGCAATGGAATGTGAAAGGAGAGCTATAGAAGAAGTAAAAGTATAGAAGTAAAAGAATACATGCTCAATAATGGTAAATAATTTGGATCCAGGAAGGAGAAGGTAGTGTTTGACTACTGGGAGGGGTGGCAAGTTGGTGGGGGGTGGAGGTGGGATCTCACTAGGAAGCCCCAATTACTCTTTTTTGTGGATGATATAATGACAAAATCTAGGGGCAAAACTCAGGTTTTAGAAGCAAGAGCAAAGGCTATACAACTTATCAGCCCAGACCAAATTTTGTGACTAACTGGGATTTGTTGAGCTCATGGAGCATGCTGTGTTTCTGTCCCAAGGCAGCCTAAAATGCCCTTGTAGCTTCTGACCTACACAGTTAATTTGCCAGGTTGGATAAGGTTCTGTCTCTTTCAGCACGAGTCCTCCATGAAACCCCCTTCCAATGATGTGCTATGAAAGAGGGTGATGTTTCCAACTAGAGGAGCACCAGTCACAGGAGGACACAATTAGAAATGAGATAAGGTATAAAACGATCATGGCAATACCAGTGGGAATCAGAGAGTGACATCACAGCAGTGTAGAAAACAGGCCATGGGGACACTGATATGGTTCCTTCTGAGCAGGGACAAGAAGGAAGTAGAGATCTGAATCTGCAGAGATGAGGGAAAGGGGAATGGTGAGAAGAGACTGGGTGACACGTGACTCTGTTAGACTACAAAACCTGGTGTTAAAGAAAGTTTCAGTGTTGAGTTTGGAAAGGTAGGTTTCGGTGGAAATACAGAAAGCCTGAAAGTCAGGTTATGGGACCTGAGCTGTATTTGCAAAGAATGAGATCTCAGGAATATCTGATAGCAAGATAATGTGATGATCAAAATGGCAAAAGCATAAAGGGAAACTAGTCAAGCATTCAGCTTAGAGACCATTATAATATGCCTGGTGGGACATGTTCATAGCTTTCCAATAGATTATATAATTTCAAAGTAACAATGTGTTCTAAGGGAAAATATGCATCAGGGATGGATTCTATGAAATCTCTTTTCTTCTTTTCCTTTTTTTTTTTTGGTTTGTTTTTGACTGTAGTGTATGTGTTAGTCGCTCAGTGGTGTCCAACTCTTTGTGACTCCATGGACTGTAGCCCACCAGGCTCCTCTGTCCATGGAATTCTCCTGGCAAGAATACTGGAGTGGGTTGTCATTCCCTTCTCCAGGGGATCTTCCCGACCCTGGGTTCGAACCCGGGTCTCCTGCATTGCAGGTGGATTCTTTACCATCTGAGCCACCAGGGAAGCTATTATCTTGGAAAAAGAAAACATGAAATGTCTTCCACACACTTTACCCCAGCCAGAATGACCTACTTTAGAATCACCTCTCCTTCTTTTTTAAAATTTAAGAAAAAAAATGGAATTTTTCTCTCCAGCCTTTTTATTCTGGCTATAGCCCCTATTCTTATGTAGGCTTGAAGCAATGGTAATTAAATATTCAATTTCTGCAAAAGGGAATGACTAGAAAATAGTATATTGGAGAAGGAAATGGCAACCCACTCCAATGTTCTTGCCTGGAGAATCCCAGGGACGGGGAAGCCTGGTGGGCTGCCGTCTATGGGGTTGCACAGAGTCGGACACGACTGAAGTGACTTAGCAGCAGCAGCAGCAGAAAATATTACACAAAATCTCTGGTCACACCCTAATGCCATTTATATGAAGACATAAAGGAGGTTATTATTCATATCTGACCACAGTTTCCAGAGCCTGAAGGAAATTTGAAGGATGTTATGTCACACTTAACTAACCCCACGGGTCAGAGCTTGATTTTGGCTGCCTGGCAACTTGAAACTGTGTTTGTGGAATGGGACAGGTTTCAGTCAGTTTGAATTCAATTGCTGGAATGAAAGGAATATGTTCTCTTGCACAATCATATCAAAGAGAATTCTTTCTAGAAATACTCCAAAAACAGACTTACCATACTAGCTGACCCTTCTCTGCCTTGGGCCAGTTTTTGTAGTCTGTCAGTTTATATAGTTTTCATAGCTTCATAGTTTTCAGTTTGCAGACCTCCAGACATTGCTCTAGAATTTCTTCTCTACTTTAACTAGCTTGTGTTCTTAGGTTGACCCCCAAATTTCAATGATTGCAAAATGCCACTTTTTTGGATCAGATAGGCCTTTGGGAATTTAATATCTTTTTAAAGAAAATAACACTTGGCTGCTATATAAACAGAACTTTAAAACTAGATCGATGTTTTCACAAGTCTCTAGAAATTTTACTTTAAAGTAGAACAACAAGATATTTGATTTTTTTTTAAATATTTGGAAATTTTACTACAAAATCTAAAACCAAGAAGACGTCTGAAATATTATTTGAACCAGGCAGAATTCCTCAAGAAGCTTCTCTTTTTGTTCTTTTTATACTTCTCAATAAAGCATAAGCTCTGCATCAGGAAACAGCTGCTTCAAACACCCTGAGCCCACTTGTGCATTTATGAAGAGATGGAGCAGGAGGATGGCTTTTAAATCACTGAAACCTAGTAGCGTCAGAACTGTGGATAAATTGAAAAAATGAAGAAAATGCTTCTCATGTATTCCAAATCAACTACTAAAAATTCAGAGTAGGGTTCCTGACAATGGGAGTTATGTCAAATTTAGACATACTGATGGGTACATTCATTACTGGGAGCATAGCTAAGTACAGCCATCAACTGGAAAGTGACTGTCAGCACAACTTTGATCCAGGATCTCACTTACACATTTGCAAATCATTAGCATTTACCATGGGCCCACATTGTAGTTTGTATGGCCCTTTGATGTCCAGCCCCCTGTTCCACCTTTCTCTCTTCCCATTTCTCCGTCACACAGTTAGTTTCTCAAATTGATCTCCAAAGGGAAATCTGTATGTCAAGCTAAGTGTTTTTGGCTCATCTACTGTCTCCTCATAAGCCCTCTTTATCATCTTTCTTTAGTGGGTCAAAATAAAATTATATATTCCTCTTCCTTCACTGGTTACACTGGTAGCTCAGCTGGTAAAGAATCCACCTGCAATGTGGGAGACCTGGGTTCAATCCCTGGGTTGGGAAGATCCCCTGGAGAAGGGAAAGGCTACCCACTCCAGTATTCTGACCTAGAGAATTCCATGGACTGTATGGTCCATGGGGTCACAAAGAGTCAGACACAACTGAGTGACTTTCACTTCACTTCACTTCCTTTACTAATATTTTCCATAGAGTAAATGAGGAATACATAATTTTCAATTTAAAATAAGAAATGTTTATCAAAAGAGGATAAAAGTGGATTTTTTTGTCAAAAGCACATACTGAGTAATAAGAATGGAATGAAACACCTAAATATCTTAAAGCTTATATGGAGGTGGTAGACAGGAATGGAAGGGACAGAAAAAACATGTTATCACTTGTTTCCAAAACAAGTTATTCTGTGAAAAGTGGGTTTACAGGATGCTATTTAATGCCCACTCAAAGTGAGTTGTAGTTAAAACTCTGAACTCTAAGTTTATTTTCTTAAAATTGAAGATTTTGGAGAACGTTTAACTTATCCTCAACATTAATTCCCTTAGATGTAGGGAAAAGAGAGCTTTGAAAAAAATCTTAAAATGGACAAATTTGTAGAAAATCAACAATATTGAATCCATATAACCTTTTTGCAAACTTCAAAAAC